CAATAAAAATCTGATGGTGCTTTACTGCAGTCATAATTACTTTCATGAGTTTTGACCCCCAACACCGCTGGCTGAAGTACAGCCCCAGTTTAGAGCCTCCACTGTGTTTTGGAGATGCATGTAGATGCTCACTGTCATACCTCTCTCCTGATCTCCTCTGTAAATATTTATGATGACTTGAGTGAAAAATGTCAAATTTGGATCCATCACTTCGCAAGACACAGATTTTCAGTCTAGGTTTTATGTTATTTGGCCATACACAAAAATGACAGCACAGTTGTGTCGATTTTTTTTCTGTTTCCTCTCCTTGAGAATGACCTCATGGCAGCCAATCTCTCCAATCCCGATTTGCCTTCAAGGAACAGCAACAACCCACCCTCCGCTATTTCTTAGAAAAAACACTTACAAAAAAAAGACTAGAAAGTCTAACTGCTTGGAAAAAAAGAAATGAGGGGTGGATCAAGACTTCAGCATAGTCAGTACAAAATATTTCAGAAAGGTTTTTTTAAATCTATAAATTTTTATTTTTAAAATCATGTATGCTATTATACTTATTTGCATACAGACATATCACTCAACCACAAACACTTCAGTAGGTATCCTCCAAGAGCACAAATATATTAACCTCATACAAATTTGTACAACTTACAAAAAAGAAACAAAGAGAACATCTAACAATGGAAATCCATTAAACAGAGACAGTCTCAAATAAATACAAACATAAGATTTTTTATTTAAAAAAAAAAAATCATTCTGCTTTTCTGTAGCAATTCAATCAGTCAACACATCATGAATGTCTCATAAAAAAGAAAAAAGTATTACCAATAGTTTCATTAATGACACATTTTACTATTAAAACTCAATCCGTCTAGAATTAGAACCTTTTTGAACTATGTTTCTGTTTTGCACCATATTAAACTCACAATACTCACAAGACCACTCTTCAGAACCCGAACCTTCCAGTTTCACCATGCAGTGGCAATAACTACGACTTCTATAAAACTCAGCACTACACACACTTGTAACTCTGCAGCATACACTGATGTTTATTTGACACATTTACCAAAAACAGCTTTATAATCCACAGCCAAGCACCCAATCTACTTCAAGAAACCTTATTATTCATCAGAGAGACAGTCGGGACTCCACTATTTTAACAGTTTATTTTGTAAACCCAGCTCTGGAACCAGCAGCTCTATTTCTACCATGCCTTCGCTGCATGTCATTACCCACAGTTCCTCCCCCTTTACTCCCAAAACTGCTTGATAAAAACCCCTGACTAAGAGTCACTCATGATTATACTCTTCAGTGTTTTCAGAGGTGCTGACTCAACTTTATGGTCATTGTTTTTGTGTGATTCATTATTCTGCTGATGAGGATATGTAATATTTTATCTCCACCATTTATCTCAGTAAGTGCAAATAGCGTAGGGGTTGCTTGGCTGGGACAATGGCTTCTCTGCAGTCTTCTGGCAAGCAGATAAATCATCACACCCAAGCAATACTCAAAACCCCTCCCCCCCAAAAAAACTGTTGCAACACACACATTAAAAATAAAGTATAGATAAGAAAACACACACATACACTCTGTGATTTCAAACAAAATCATTTGTCACCAAAACATTGTGATCGCACTACATCTAAAAAGGAACCTCTGTCATCGCAAATGGGCTAAACCTGAGAGAGTGTACAGTACATTGGCTCCTAGACTTCACGCAGCAGTTTTTGGAGCACCGCCTGTGTGTGTGTGATGTCGCTGTGTGCATCAACTACATAAAAAGGACCATAAATTTTAAAGCCCAGTTCATAACCAGTTCGTTCATAGTCATAAACAAGAGGCACTTGAGATGTCTGATATGACAAACACTCAAGCCATGATTTCACGCTGATCTTAAGCTTGCATGCTCATTTATTCACTCTAAAGAGAAAAGGCTTGCCCAAATAACTTTTCATGTAACATAATGTTAAAGCTTAACAGCGGCTCTCCACTCAGGAGTACTAGTGGGCACATTCGTAGAGCTTTAGGTTCTTCTGTAGCTCTCTGGTACAGCTTTGTCAAGAGACATCACTCGAATATCTCAGCTCGAGTTTGACGTGGACAAATCTCTCACAGGCTCTACGAGCTAGGAGAGAAGGTCCTCAGGAAGCATGTGACGAAAGCATTACAGATGTGGCATCCATGTGAAACCTTTAGGTGTTGCACGCAAAAGACGCAAAGCACTACTCCTAATCTTTTTTTTTCCCCCTTTTCTACTCCTTATACTTTTGTTTCACTTGCACTTTCACTGACACTCTGTTTCCACATGGATCAAGTGTAGTCCCACAGATTCTCTGACATTTTTGAACCAGGAAAAGCAAGGTTGGAAGTAACAGCGTTAAGTGAAGGCTCAGTTCCAGCAATTATTGCAATTATTCCCAATTAGTAACCCCTGTATTTGCCCAGCAGAAATGCTGTGAAAGAGGCACAGTAAACATTTTCTCTGGTTTTATGCATCCCAATATTAACATTACTGATCACACGTATGAAAATATTTTTTTTTAACAACCTGTGCTTCTCCTGACTGTTTTAACACTGAATAAATACTTCAATGCTCCCCGTTAGACAAAACCAACCTGTAAAAACCCAATAATTTAATAAATTTTGACACTGCAACACACTTCACTACCAGTTCTCATCAGAGAATGAGCTAGAGCTGCCAGAGTCTGAATCTGCATCTGTCAGCCCATCAAAATCCCAGTCTGCACTGGAGCCACTGTCATCGTCCTCCTCTGTGGAGAAGCTGTGGGCAGAGCTAAGGCACGCTGGGTAAACACGCGTTGAAACACATACGGGCCCCAGCGTGGACACGTACACCGCCATGATATTCTTCCACGTGTCCCTGGCCGGGTCGTACTCGTGGATGAGGACTCTGTTCTTGTTGTGCTGCAGTAAAGTCTGAGTGAGGAGGAGCAGCTTGCCGTTGTGTTGGATCACCTGATAATTTAGAGCTCGGCTGTCGATGGGAATGTCGCCGAGCCTCTTCCACTCACCCCTAGTGGGGCTGTAGGCTTTCACCACAGGGATGTCGCACACACAGACGATCTGGTCCTGGAACACGCAGGCCTTGTGAAGCTTGTCTCGCCTCAGCGACCCACAGTGGCGCCAGCGGTTCCTCTTAGGATCGTAGCAAAGCATTCGCCTTTTGTTCACCACGTACAAGTGGTCGTGTAGGGCTACCACCTGCATTTTACCCAGAGAATGAGGCAGAGGAGCCACAAACATCCACTGGTTCCTCTGGACGCTGTAACACTCCACCTCCTTCAGTCTGGCATCCGTCACCGGGTTTCTTCCTCCCAGAAGGTACACATGCCCGTTGAGGTAGCCCATTCCAGAATGTATTCTGCCCAGTGGCCTCTCTGCCAACTCCTGCCAGCTGTTGAGCACAGGGTTGTAAAGCCAGAAGTGTTTCGAGAGGTGGGACGCCAAGTACAAGTTGTTTTCAGGGGTGGCACAGGCGATTAAGGACTCCATGGTGGAGCGTTTGTAATCCTGACTGCTCAGATCCTCTAAAGGAGGGGCCATGAAGTACAGGTCCTCCGAGTATGGGTCGCAGCACATTATGTTGTCATTAGGTAGGCCAAAGAAGAGGATCATCTCTTTTGCGCTCACACCTATTCTGTGTTTTGGCACATCCAGAGTAGCAGACATGACACAGCCGTCCTCAGGGGACTTGTTAAAAAATGATGCCAGGTATTTCTCAATGAAAGGCCTTGCCATGAGGCTCTCCAGGTAACACTTGTCCTTCTCAGTGAACAAGTTCCAGCGGACACACTTTAGTGCTTGCAACGCATCCTCTTTTTTCTGTGCTGCGTTCACCTCGATCCACTGCAGAGCAGCCGAGCACACCTTCTTCTCACAATCCACATCCAGGGTGTCCAGAGACAGCAACTCCTTCAGCTGCTTCAGGTCCAGCTCGCAAAGATCCCCCCCATTACACACCAGGCCGAAGTTCCTGGCAATGAAAGCTTGCGCATTCTCCTTCAGCTCGGGGTTATCATAGGTGTCAGCAAATTTCAGTACCCCCACACAGTTAGACAAGTCCAGTCTCCTTGTCATGAAACTGGAGCAAGCTTTCCTGATGTACTCCAGCTGGAGCATGTTGGCCGCTGCATACAGCCTCTGCACGTTACTCTCCGTGATGGTCACCCTGCCCGTGTAGCAGTAATCGATGATGACGGACATAGACTCAGGATCGACCCCACGGATGACCACAGTTTCCTGCACGCTCTCGTTTAACCCACCGGTGAACATGCTTTTGAAGTAGGGGCTAGCAGCTGCCAGGACGTTGCGGCTGCAGAAGAAAAGTTGGTCGATGGCACCTCTGGTGGGGTTGCCGCTGTGCTCCAAAGACTCCTCTTCATACTCAACTCCGATAGTAACGTCCCCGAGCAGCCGGCAATCGTAAAGCAACTTCAACCCGTTCATCAAACCCCGAGCGTGATTGGCGTCCTCCAGCACCTCCGGACCACTGAAGCAACTCAGCGCCGAGGCCATTGTTGCAACTTAAGCGATTAGTTAGCTATTTCACGTCGGCCAGTGTTTCAAAAAGCACCGTGTGACGCGGTAAACATGCTCGGTAACGCCAAGTTCCCCGAGCTCTGATAATGACACGTCCGTTTACACGTGAAAATCAAACATAAGCAGTGTGGATAAATGCAACAGCGATTTAACAGCTGAACGGTCGCCAGGATGTCTGAAATCCGGCAGCTGTCGGCCTGTAAATGAGCATAATGTCACGGTCAAAGTAGAAAAAGACCCGCACACCACTTCCAAGGAGCTGCTTTACCGATAACGTTCATTTTCACTAAATTCCTCCTCATTGCTGTTTTCTGTTTTGAGTGTAGCAGCTGGCACAAACGTCAATACGGCCAGGTTTTGAGCTACATATTCCGAGAAGAACTTCCACAATAAAGTACAGTTGTACGTATAGATATCGCGCGTTCTTTTAGTTCATCTTTTTGAGCAGTGCTATACGCTCTGGGTGGGTTTTAATATTCTATTTTGACCACGAATCTCATTTTAAAATACGCAAATTAGTATTTTAAATAAAATTAAACAAATTTAAAAAATCTTATTTTGAAGGCTTCTTTGATTAACTTCCACACTGGCTCGTTGCGCACTCATACAACCTTGCTTAAAAAAGAGTGCCCTCTGATTGGTTTGTGCAACTGGGTCAACTGAATTTGATTGATTGGAACATAATATGGTTCCTCCCACTACTTTCCCCTTTGCTAAAGCGGATAATTCTGGAAATTAAACAATGGACCTCTATGTCTTTTGTGTTTACTTGTATTTTTATATAATTGTGTTATAAATATTTTTTTAGAAACTAATACTATTTTGTAATAATCTTAATATATCTATATTTCTTATATGTTTATTTGTATTTTTATGTAATTGTGTTATTTCATTTTTATATCATTACCATATCTTCAATTAATCCTTATGTATTATTTCTAATTGCTCACGTGGTCTCAGTCCTTACTGCCTTTAAGCAAAATGATTAATGTAATCCTTTTACAGTCAAATTTTACATTTTGTCCTCAGATAATAATAAACTAACTAATAGAATTTTAGTAAACTAAATTCTAAAAATAGATAATAGATTATTAAGCTGAGGTGAAGGCGGTATCATCATCTGTGGTGTCATCCTTTCATCCAACTCTCAGCGTGAATCAATAAATGTGTTTTATGAGTCCCTGCTCTCAGTTAGATAGTTGTCCAGCACATATTGCCACTATAAAACTATAATATTTTAATTTAATGCTTAATAACTCCCCAAACCCCATTTATGATTAATACTGAAGTCTCTATAGTCTGGCATGGGCTATTTATTTGATTTGCTGTAACACATTAGAGCTTCTTCTCTGTGGTATATGTGACAGCCAGACACTATGCATAAAAAATATGAAATATATGGATTCATACCATCATTAAAAAAATCATGTCCCTTGCACTGCAGTTTAGTATATGCATCATTCAGCCACATGTGCATATTGGCCCTTTATGGTCAGATGTTTGTTTAAATGCAGTATACATATCCACCAATAATTATCTCTCCTTAAAATGGTCCCATCAGCCATACCTTACTACAGACTTTTCCATTTACACCTGTGCTCTTTGTAGCCAACTATAACAACATATATACACAGTTGATCCACATAAACTGTCTTGACCTTTGTCGTTTGTACATCAATTAAAATAAATAAACTTTTTGAAATCAAAAGTTTATTTAGGATTCCAAAGACAGCCTTTATCCTTATTGCAAAGCTTTAATTTCTTGCACTACAAAAAGTAGCATATATCATGATTTGTTGGTTAATTGACTCTGAGTCCATTTGCTTCTTTGCAGTATCACATATGCACATGTAGAACACAAATTACAGACATAGCCACAGCTACTTGCGTTTTCACCCAGGTTTAAGTGAATCTACGACTTAGGTCGTTGATTTTACGTAGTGCGTCTCGGTTGTCGATGGTCCTGTGGACTGTGATGAGGAAGGGGAAGGCAGAGGGAAGCTCCACCCTTTGACTCAGTTTCTGGTGACCCCAGTGAAGGCAATGCAGTCTCTCAGCCAGGTCCCGTCTGCCAGCTCGTTCCAGTCCGTCTTGCAGCAGCTTGGTCTTATTTGGCTTGTCCCATGACTTCTCGTACCTGCAAATAAAGAGGGACCTCTAAAAAGTGTTTCATAGAAAGAAGAGAAATTCACTGATGTATAAAAAGCCAAAAGAAAAAAAAAGAACTGTATAAAAGTGACAGAGTGTCTAGAGAGCGCAAGTGACCATGATAAAACACAAATAAGTTATTTAAGTTTCTCACATGAGATTGCTGGGCATCTGCTTCAATTTCTTAAGACTACAATGATTTCAGATGACGTATAAAATTGGACTAAACACTGCTAAGATAATCAGATGTTGCCTTTTGATTTAGAAACACCAGTTTCTAAACAAAGCACATGCTACTTTCATAAGTGTACACACAGACTTTACCAGCTTTCCAGCATGGCCTTGGCCTGGACACTCTTCTCTGTAGAGCTGGCGTGGAAGCGTCCTATCTCAGTTCTATTGAAGCCAAGCTCATATGCCAAAACTGTCCACTCAAAACCAAGCTGCCTGGAAGTCTCCTGCAGCGTCTTTAGATTGATCACAGCATCCTGTAAGCAAAAAAAATAAAAAAGAGGGGAGGGGGATTCCATTGAGAAAAACGATCTAGTATAAATGATCTGCGCAAAAGTGCAGATGAAAGCAGATTAGACATACCTCCTGGGCTTTGTTGGGCATTATCAAAAACTCCAAAAGGTCAGCACTGTGCACTCAATATCTGTCTTCAGGTCTGGTTTAATGATTTTGCGCAAAAGATAAAAGATAAGAGATTTTAGTCACCTTCCCTGAGGTACAGTATGTTAAAGTAGAGCGTGTTTGAGTGTTACTCTGGAGATTTAAAATCAACATACTCACTTGTTAAACATTAGTCACTTTGTGACCACCTTGTGACACTAACAGCTGCCACAGTGAATCTTCCAAAACCTCAAAACCCCCTAACTGTAATGTGCTAAAACTGAATTCTACATTTATTTTTTGAGCAGTAGCTTCCATAATATCAGCGATATTAGCATTCAGATATACTTTACACTTGAAGGAATATAGGACTGAACTTGGTTTAGTATTGTATTTTTACTAGGGAAGAATACAGGAATATGGTTTCACCCTTAGACCACCATTACTCCAAATGCTTTTAAGTTGAGTCATATCTGAGTTAAAGAAGGCATAGAGTTTGAACTGCAGTAAGTAGAGCTACAACTCCCCATTCATCCATCCCTTCGCAACTTTTCGATGGCCAGGTCATGGGGGGCAGAAGTCTAAGTCCCCAGTCACCTGTTCCCAAACCAGCCAGGAGACATAATTTCCTTGGTCTGCTCAGGCATCTCGTACTAGTGGGAGATGCTCAAAACAACTGGAGGCGTTCAGACATAAAAACAAAAAGAATTGAGGCGTTTCTGTGTCCTAGAGAGCCTATAGTTATGCCTTCGTGGGCAACATGCTCCTGGTAGGGTTTCCGCAGCTCATCACTGGCTGCAATCCCTTTCCCCTTTTGCAATTTACCAATTTTCCCCCTCGATTCTTTACAAACAATTTTAATGAAGAAGAATGAAAAAACGTTTTGAAATGCTTTTATTCACTTTAAAAATTCACTTCCTCTTTAATTTCTTGCCATCCATTAAAAGCATGAGGGCTCCTTGTGCAATATCACTGCAGCAGTTACGCTTATCAAAGAACATTTCGGAATTGAATGTAAACATTAAATAAAAAGAAACTAAACAAAAGATAAAGTGTGTACAAGGTCATTAATGGATCTAATACTGAATGTGTTAATCAGAATTCTGATCCAAAGTGCTGCAAGGTCCAGCCAATAAGTATAACTAACATAAATTACATTACTTCTTCTTCTTTTTCACTTTTTTTTTTTTTTTTTTACAGGCACGGGAAGTAACAAAATTCCAACTTCAGGTTCAACTTCATATCTGACACCACAGCCTGAAAAAAATAGTACTTCCGAAACTAATCATATGAAATCATTAAAAGCATGTACAAAAGCATGGGATATATTTTTCTAAGCTTTCGGTTGGAGAGAGACGTTTATTCTGCTCAATGCAAGAATTAACAAGGACAAACCAAGAAACACATATCAGAGAGGATCTGTTTCACATTTAACAGCTGATTATCAGAGTATTGCCTGGTTGTTTCATGGTGTGTCAAGTCAAGGTTAAGATCCAGCCTGCTGGACCTGCACGCTCAACAGTCCTCACTTTGTCCTTCAGCAAGGAGTAGTGCTTATATTCATGATATCTGTCACTCTCACAGGTCGCAGCCCAAGTCTAGAGACCTGCTGAAAGAGACATTTTAAATCAGCTGGTGCCTACACAGCGATACCCTGTGCACCTCTCAAATTTCAGCTTATTTGGGTTCAGTAGCAGCCATCTTTCCAGCTGCCGTCCCTCAGGGCACTCAGAGCAGCCAGGCTCTTTGGAGGAGTAAGCAAACTGCAGACAGAAAAAAACCCAATATTATATAAGCATATAAGTTAATCAAAGATAAATAAAAAGATCCATCATCCCACAAAGAATCTTGTCTGTTTCTTTTAAAAGTTTCAGGAATCAGACCTGTGAATCCAGTGTGGTAGGTGAGAATTCTACCATTGAACCACCGATGCCACACCTAAAGATTGCTACATTACCACTCACCCACATGCTGAAAACACTAATAGTCTGACCAGGTTTGTCATCATATACTTCAATTGATTAACCAATTCATGGCTCAGAAAATTATTTTTTTACTGTCATCAGAGGATGAATTTTACCACCTCTGGTGATCCCCTGAGATAACCTTCTCATCAGGTCTAAATTTGAAGTTATCAAGTGCCTTTTTGCACATGCTCGTCAGTACTCATGTTGTTGTAGTTCTCCTTTAAACCCAAAGGAGTTAGCATATGTGTGCTTACCTGCGCGTGGGTTGGGTGATTTTACTGGGACGTGGAACGCCACTTGTTCCTATGAAGGAGGCTGGCCGAGGGAGGGAACTGCGGGGGACAGCTGAGTGGTTGGTGCTGGTGGGTTTGAGGGCCTGTGGCAGCAAACTAATGCTGCTGCTGGGTTTGAGGGGTTGAGGCAGCGCGGCACTGCTGGAGATGGAGTTCAGACTGGCAGAGGTGGACAGAGAGGTGGGTCCCTGCTGGACTGTGGGGCTTACGTAGGCTGTCGCTTTTAGAGTGTGTCGCGCTGTTGTAGGGAAACTCCCGACACTCTGGACTCGCTGACTGAGCTGGCCTGGGGAAGGAACTGAAGGAATATTGTGAAGCAAAAGTGTCACTGCAATCCCTAGATTTTTAGTTGTCATCATTAGGCTGAGCGTTAACAGTTTATAAAAGTGATTTTTTCCTTTCTTTGATCATTCGCACACATAAAAACAGGCGTCTTACTGGAGGATTGAAGTCGTGCAAGCCCACTCGATGAGTCAAAGCTCTGGCTGTTCCGGAGGGAGGGCATCGTTGGCAAAGAGGAGGGACCGTGGGAGGGTGGGTTGACAGGGGAAGCCAGGCATGGAATGCTGGGGACACTAGGCATGCTGGGAGCTCGGATCAGGTTGGGCATGCTTCTTCGCAGCTTGTCTATGCAACAACATCAACAAAGCTGATCAGGTATTGCAGGTGCCCAGTTAGCATTTTTTTTTTGGCTTTTCAAAGTTTTAGGATTTTTTAGGGGACATTTTGGTGAATATGAACGTAAGCGCTTTTAGCAAATATTTAATACATAGCATTTTCTCCTGTAGAAACACATCTTAGTTTTACACTTTAAATTTAAGCAGAATGACACGTCATATCCATTAATGAATGAATCTTTTCTTGTGGTCCACTCAAAATGTTGCACTATTCTTTTATCTATACTGACTTAATTGAACTTAGGACTTTAAAGAGGGGGAAAGTCTAATACTTGCTCCTTAAAGTAACAGCAGTATCAGTCTTAGACAGTCATGCAGTTATCTCTATAGACTGATATCTGCATATAAAGACACGCAATCTGTAGAGAAGGGAGAACTGTGCTTTAATTGCTTTCTGTTTGCATTCCTCTTTTAGTCTAATTACATCTGAGCGGGCCTTGGTTGCATGCAGATAAACAGTGTGTGAAGAGCAAAATGATTGCATTTGCTGAAATGCAATCTTGAAACACTTAGCTATCACCTGATTAACATTTATCAGATTTTAAAATCTCTTCAGCATTTATAAAGATTGACATGCTGATAGAACAAGAAGTGTGGTCTACTGGAAGTCCAAAGATACTGACTGATCCCTGAGTTTTTAACAGTCCTCTATCAGACATGTTCCCAGATCAGATCAGGTCACTCACCTGTGCTATTTGTGTATGCTGTTTGTGTCTCTGTGATCAGGCTAGAGGGTCCAGAGTACTGGGAGTGTCCACTGAGTGAAAACTGATGGGTGGTTGAGCTGCGTCTGCAGTCTCTGAAACTGGAGAAGGTGTGAGAGTGGGGCAGGCTGCCCCGCTGCATAGAGCCTGTGCGGAACAGTCGAGGCTGGGGAGGTGGGAGCTGGTCGTAACCCTCGTCCTCCTCGTCCTCCTCCTCGAGATCCATCTGACTGTGCCTGAGGGTGTGCAAGGAGAAGCTGGAGCTGCGACGGCTGGCCGTGGCTGTGGCTGAGGTAGAGGCGTAGTCTTGTCGGAGGCCTACAGGGGCGACAAATCAATGCATTTGTCCGAGGAAAGCACGAACCCTACGTGGTATAGGACACATTTCCTTCTGGAGGCGCCCCTCATTCATTATTCACTTACTGAATCGGCAGACCAGACTGATATAGAGAAGTTTGTTCTGAAATGTCCTGCATAATTTAATAGCACACAAGCGCATCAAGATATCACTTCCTTTCAACTTCGTAAAGGTCAAACATTTATGTTAGTGTCAGCCATTTATTGGCAATGTTGCACAGTAATCTTTTCCAGTCTCTCCACAAGGCAGTGCATTACTGTTTACAACCAGAGTGGCTGTCAAACAAACACAAAAATCTCAGTCCACGAGGGCCGGTGTCCCTGCAGGTTTTAGATCTCACCCTGGGTCAACACACCAGAATCACATGATTAGCTCATTACCAGGCCTCTGGAGAACTTCAAGACATGATGAGAAGGTAATTTATCCATTTAAATTAGCTGTGATGGATCAAGGACACATCTAAAACCTGCAGGGACACCGGCCCTCGTGGACTGGGATTGGGGACCCCTGCTTGTAGTGTATATATAGAAGTGTTCACGCATTAGTGTTTAAAGCAATGTCAAACAATTTTCATGCCTTACAACAAATTTGTGGGTGGCTGCAGGTACGTAGAGAAGAACTTCAGTGTGACAGTTGGTGTCTGATTAAGGACTGTTTATGCTGAGGCAAGAGTGATTTGCAGCTCCATGCCACATATCACTGTACCTGCTGGTGTCCAATCAACACCGAAAGACTTGATTCATACGTCTCAGATATTCTCTTATGTTTGGATGACATGAACTCCAACTGTGTTTTTAATCTCGTAAAAGGACAGCATTGGCACATACTGCTTTGGCAAAGGGTCAGTTAATCAGTTTCCTATGAGCAGTGTTTCTACATGTTTCAAAATGTCACACTTTTCCACAATCAAGTTTTCAGATTTCTCGGCAGACTTTTCAGACCACGTCTGCCATCTAGATGCAAATAATAAATGTTTATTTTGTAAACAAACTGCCTTACTTAATATTTAATATTTTAGAAGAGAAGAAGGTTTATAAAAATATAGAGCATTATGTGGATGAAGCAATGTGTTAAATATTAAATTCTATGTTGTGACACTGACTGGATATTCTGACTGCAGTTTGATATAATGGCTGCATTGTAAAGGTGCAGATATATAATCATGGA